TTTTTCAACGTTCGACACTTTACTCAAGCATTGTTTCTGCTGTTCCGTTCCTTCTGTATTGGACAAAATTTTAATACCGAAATAAATCAACTCTATTCTCAAATCGGACTTCTATTATAATATTTTCAATAAATACTGTAAATCATAATATGTAATTACAAGAATATTCTTCTCGTGATACACCAAAACAAAAAGATATATACAGTGTCAATGTAAAATCTCAGTTATGCAAATTTTAAAAGATAAACCCTAGATGTGAAGCAAGCCTTCGACCGGGTATGGCACTCGGGGTTCCTCTGGAAACTTAAGAAAGTCCTCCCTTTTATCTACTACCTGATCCAAAAATCCTATCTATCTGACAGATACTTTCAAGTCATCAGTTGTCACTCTTACTCACCCGTGTATCGCACAGACGCGGGGTACCACAAGAAAATATCTTAGGGCCCATCCACTACTGTATATACCTCAGACATTTCTACTCTTCCAGAAACTTACTACCTGTGCGGATGATACCGCCATCCTTTGCTCCCATAAAGACCCTGTCATTTCGACCAGAAACCTACAGAGCCATGTCACATCCCTTGAGCAGTGGTTCAAGCAGTGGAAGATGGCAATAAACATACAAAAATGTGAACGTGTCGCTTTCACTCTTCGGAGAATAACCGCTGATCCCATCTATTACAATAGTATCCCTCTCCCACCAGCTAATACAGTCCGCTACCTTGTGCAATACATTGACTAACGACTTACATGGAATCCTCACACGGGACTCAAAAGGCAAGAGCTAAATAGACGGTTCAGACTTCTCAAAAGATTGCTGGGTAAACGGCCAAAACTGCCTGTACTAAATAAATGAATCATTTATACAACTATTTTGAGACCCATTTGGACATACATTGTCGAACTTTGGGGTTCAACAAAACGTTCCAACCCCAAACGTATCCAATCCCTACTATCAAAAATTCTTACAACCATCGACAATTTTTTCTATGTATTTCATCTTATCATTCAAAATGACCTTAAAATCCAATATGTCCTTGAAGTAGTGAAAAACCGCTACAAAAAATTTCAAATACAATTATCCAGTCACACAAACCCTCACGTCAGAAACCTACCATCCCGCACCCTTCCAAATAATTCTCCCAGACGGATGTAGCGTCAATGGCCTCGCGAGCTCCTAAGCGACAGTGACTCTGATTACTGCTAGTATACAGGAGTGATTAGTAATGAGTAATCCTACTTTTTTATGTATATTTTTGTGTTCACTTTTGCTTTGGTTTACTCTGTAAAATGCTATCAAATTTACTAAAGCGCAACAATTGACACAGGTGCAAATAAATAAAGAAGAGGTAGAAAAAGACAAATGCTCGTGCTGTTTAAACGCCCTTTGAAATATAATAATTAATTATAACAAGTCCTTGCTTTTGACCAGCCCCGTTTTATCATACATACGCAAAGTGCTTAATTTATGGCCTTTCAAAGTTTGAAGCCGGGAAGCGACGCTGTATAAGAGCAAATGTTTAGCATTTAAGTTGTACACGATACATCATTAGAGAAAGTGCCATATATAAACAACGTTAATATGTGTAATATTTGCAGCCATTTATTTGGAACTGTGACTATTGTAACAACTTGAATACGATTTAATTGAAATCAATAAGCAATATTCAAAGATCAATTTGACTTGTCTTATTCAAATAATACTCAAGCATAAAAGATTGTACGTTCGCATTAAAATACAAAATTTTTACGCCAGCTTTCATATTTTTTTAAATTAATTAATTGTACCCTAAACATCTTTTTTTCACACGGTCACAACACTAATGCCAGCGCTACAACCGGTGGAGAAATGCCATGAGAAACCAGCCATTGCTGGCATTCAGTTTGAGGGGTTTAGGGGCAAGGAGGTCTCGACGCCATTGTCGAATATGGGATGAAGCCAAGTCTCGGGATGGGAATGTGCAGAGAAGGCTCGACCAGTAGATTAGGATAGATCGAAAGGTTGGTTTGAAACTTTTGGAACTGCTAATGGATTAGTTCGTTGACAAAAGGAGCGTTGAGGTCGTGGGATTAGTGACATAGTAAGAACTTTGATAATCTGTCTTATAAGACTTTTGACTGGAAGGAGTGAATGCGCTGGATGTTGGATGGCTTGGCACAACCCAACAGTTCTACTCCGTATATCTAAAGGAGTCGCAGTTAAGTGTTGCATAAGGTGACTCCAGACATGTGGTATTCATTGAATGCCGATTCCGGCCGAATTTTTGACAAGTCTCGAGATGCTCGTCTTGGCATTCGCCAAATAGCGTGCCTACGTATACACACATGCGGGGTTAGTAAGTACAACTTACTACCAATTGTAATGGACAACAGAGAAGCTGCGGTTACTGTTTTGTGTAGTGGCTACAAATTCAGTCACAAATCAGTCACAGAGGACTGTTGCCCCCCCCCCATCTTGCTTTTCGATCCGTTGGCACGCAACAAAAAAACTCTTTCAGATTTTTGTAATTCGGAAGAAAAGAGTCCAAACCGGTTCAAACCGAGGAAATCCAAGACCGTTAAGTAGGGCAAACATAAATAAAGCTATGGTTTTTAGTCATTAATACATCTATACTCGTAAGGAATCGTTAATTATTGGAAAATAAATAGCAGTTAATAGAAGAAAATTGATTGATGATTATACACTTTATACAGTTGATTCGCCAATGCGTGGATGCTTTGAGTTAAGCTACTTCACGAATATTCGTGCACTTTGAAGAGAACGAATCACGCTTGTCTGGAGCCATCTTAAGGTTAATTAATTGTTGACGGTCAGGACGGACTTCATTCCTAAAAGTCTTCGTAGTTGTTCAAGTCTTCTGGCCTTCAAATTTATTTTGAAACTGCAAGTTTCATGTCATAACTACTTTCTTTAATCACTGTTTTAACATATCAATAACTTCTTTCAATTATTTAATCTTTTTATGTAAGGTATTGGTCGAAGTTATTTGGTCAATCGGACCACGAAATATAATACTATTAATACCTTTAAAAAAATAAAATTTTAAATCACATCGACGACAGTTTAAATTAAATTAATTAGCAATTGTCTTTCTCAAATGGTTAACATTAAAGTTTTCGTACATTAAAAATACTAGGCCAACTGTTTTGTCTTCATCAAAGAATTCGCAGGCTTGAATTTTTTCGCTCAGAATCTCCAGGAAGTTCCAGAGCACGGACGGTTTCACTGTCGGGGTCACAACGGCGAATTCCTTGTCACTACCACTTTCTCTAATGAAATTGCAATTCTTTTGATATGCCCCCCTTTTTTTTATTACTACTCCTGGAGAAACTCGTTTCAATGTTATCGTATATTTTTCTTATTTATCTCTTTTTTTTCAAATTAGAAGGACTGAATATTTTATAGGTCGTCTCACTTTACTTACGGGTGAGTATTGTGTATATTCATCCGAGTCATAGAATAATAATAAATAAAGATGATTATTTAACATTATTAAAGATTATTTATAAAGATATAATTTAACTATCTCCATTCAAAGCGTTTAGCAGTTTTATTCGTTTGTTTTATAATATAAAATAACTTCTGAAAAGGCTTGCAATAATATTTACAATTATTTAGTATTCATATTGTTAAATAAACTAGTTCTCCTGCAAACAGTAGAGTCTAATGATAGTAAATTACACGGTTTTTTGTTATTATTTCGTTTACCGAATATTTAGTTTTAATCAACGCCCTCCAAGTAACAGCAGAAACCTCATTAACCCCTTATCATAAGTTCATAAATAAATTATTAATTAGCGCTGAAACGTGGCCGTGGTGTTGTAAAACAAAAGTAATTACATCTCTCGCGAGAGTGGGTCCTACGCGGGAATAAGTTAAGATGACGATGATGCTGTGAACCGACTGCTGTAAATAATCAGAAATATTTCCTACTCGATTTACTTGGAAATACGTTAGCTCGATAGACGGTGATGAAATTTTCTATTTGTTTACACCCGATATGCGCTCTTCTGTGACGAAAAACAATTACGATCGACATTTTTAATATGTAGATTAATTTTTTGTTAATAAATGCTGTGTGACCATTGATCTACGGATTTAGAAAACGATCAGGAATATTTGTTCGCTGGTTTTACATTTTAAAAATGCAATGTAAGGAAGCTACCTTTTAAAGAAGTTGTTCCGAAATTACCACTTCGCAAATTTTATGACCTTTGTGCTGTTATTTTTTTAAGTAGACTGGTAATCGTTACTTTAAAAGTGGAGTAATCTAAAAGAAAATTCGGTGTTAGAAATAAAACTGAGGTCAAAAGTTCGGAAAACGTTATGAGAAAATTCAGGTTTTATGTAAAGAAACGTGTCTTTCTTGCATAAACATTTAAAAAACACTTGTGGACGGCTTGAAATAAAACCATGAGGTTTATGGGGGTTTTACTACACTTTAGAGGTACGTTCTTGGAAAAAATTAATTTTTAAAAATTTTGTCACGACGAGCTGTCCTACCCTGTATATTCGTTATGATGGAGGCTCCTACAAATTGCTGAATTTCGTCAATACCGTTAAAGATCTCTACAATATATATAGCGACGACAAAATTATTTGAAGAGAAGCCATCATTGGCGGCTCCTATTTAAAGCAACAGTAGGGGTATTCACGATCGTTGTGTCAACCCTGTTAACTTAAGTCGTGTTAGATCGAGAAAAATGATGACGTATACGTGTAAGAATCGGCTAGTTAACATTGCTCGATCTAACAGGCCAGAGCCATTGTTAGGTGTTAGGTCGAAAATGTAATCACTTTGCTAGCCGTTAGGGCATAGGTAACCAACATGGCAGCCATGAATATAACAGCTGTTTTTTGTTTACATGTATTTTTATTATTAAATACGCATTAATTAAATTAGGCCAATATATTTCTTTTGTTAATTTCTGACCTGCCCTTATACTCTCATTCATAATAGATACAAGTTAGTCAAATAACAGAAAAATTGTATGCCTTTTTTAGATTTAGGCAGCCCGAAAGAAAAACCTCCGAATCTGAACTAAAATCACTAAAAAAAATATTGCTCCTCCATTTTATTGATATCTCAAATAAAGAAGGCTTAGAGACACTCGCTTCCTTAAAAATACTTACCATACAAGTTAAGAAAAAAAATTATTATTGTGAAATCCAAAAAAAAAGATAATAACAAAGTTATGACTGGTATTACTAAACTCAAGCTAAAGCAGTTATTAATTTGATCCATGAACTTCCTTTCCGACAGATGTTAAACAACAGTGAAGAACTGGAGAAAGCCAAGTTTAAATAAAAATTAATAAAGGGGGAGCTTAGCACTTGTTGAAAAACTTCAGGTGGCCAAAATAATTTGTTCGTTTTAGTTGCGTTACATAAGGGCTTGTTAAAAAGAAATAAAAATTTAAAAAAATAAAAACTTACCCATCCTTAAGAGTAAGACTTGTCTGTGCTTTCTAATTTCAATGCATGTTTACATACCTAAAACAGAAAACAGTCACAATAATAGTTTTATTAATTGCACTAAACATTGAAGACTGTTCGTCTTCCTAATTGTTTTTTGCTATTATTGTTTTATTTGTAAAAATAAATCATCCGGAAAAAAAACACTAGCAATTTCAAATAGTTAGTAGATAAAATTTTTCATAATTTTCCCAATTTTCAAAATAAATTTTACCCTGATTGTAAAACTTCAACAGCGAAAATACATAATAAAATGTTAGATTAGCTAAAGGCAAAGGATATTTTATACTAGGCACAAAATCGCTGATTTCCATAATCGTTCTTTCACGAGGGGTCGTTTAATAAATGGATATTTTGAGACGTTTGGAAATAAGAATGGAGGGGTGGTAGAGTTGGAGACCGTGCAAACGGAAACAAGGCAAATCAACCTTAGCCTGGAAAATCTACAATTCCACCAAGGTAAACACATTCACTGTAGATTGCACGACGCCCGCACAAGATCGTACAGTGGAGGTTTATTTCATTCCTGAGTCAACGGTAGATTTATGTCATTGTTATGAAAATAAACATAACAAGGTGATTTGATAGGGGATAATGGGTGAACATTTTCTTTGTTTACTTAAGAAATTTTCAAATGTTCGAAAACTTAAAATAAGGAGATAAAAGCTGCAGATTTTACACTTTAAAAACACATTCCACCTCTCATACGAAAGCAGTCGATAAAATCGAAAATTCCATCCGAGTCTAATAATAATAAAACACATAACATTCTATTGAAGGGATACAAAAGAGTCAATGATTCAACTTCCGACCCGATATTCTGCAGAAAATTGTTCGAACAAATGCCCACGAAGGTTAAGATACAAAAAAATACCTTACATAAAGATACAAAAAAAACTTTACTTTGTGTCAAACCATTGACTGTTTCAACTGTGACCTTTGTGATTCATAGTATCGAATACTATCGGTAAACCCCAATCAATAAGTCGTCTTCATTTTCGACTGAAAAAATTCAGAACGGAGACAACCACGCCGATGAAAAATATATTACTTCATTTCTATTTGTTCGCACTTTCACAAAGAGAATATAGTTTATTTTCAAGATTGGGTTGAATTGTTGGACATTCTTCGATAGTCGGATCGTCCTGGTCAACATGGTCATGCCTTAATTATTGGTAACTACCTCTCATTGATTCAGCAGTTGTCTCATAGGCTTGTCCTTTTGTACGTTCCGATTAAAGAAAAAATATATGGTAGACAACCTCTCTATAGGGGGTATTCACGATCTTTGTGTTAACCTTGTTAAGTCCTGTTAGATCGGGAAAAATGATGACGTCGACTTGTAAGAATCGGTTAGTTAACATTGCTCGATCAAACAGGCCAGGGCCAATCTAACATTAGGTCGAAAATGTAGTCACATTGCTATCCGTTAGGGCATAGGTAACCAACATGGCAGCCATGAATTTAACAGCTGTTTTTTGTTTATAAGTACTTTTATTCTTACATAAGCATTAATTAAATCAGGCTAATACCTTCTTCTTTTGTTAACTTGTGGCCCGTCCTTATACTCTCATTCATAATAGATACATCCCCTATCCTATAAAGTTGTAAGCTGCTAGACGTTAGAATACAAGTTAGGTACGTCGGCATGAATTGAAGCGTGTCATTTGTTAGTGCTTTTCGAGTGCATAGATAGAATTTTGAATGAAAGAGTTGTTTAATTTTCCGTTTTTACTATCTGGCATCTTACAATTTAACACTAAAGAAAACCAAAACAAACAACAAGCTTTCAAGGACTGTTCTGACTGAGAAGATATTCCTTATGTGCCACTAATAGGCGACGGTTTTATTTTTATGCATAACAATGCAAAGCCCCACACAGCAAACATCGTTGTTACATGGAACGGGCTTCGATTCAATGTTTGAAATGGCCAGCATGCAGTCCCGACTTAAAACCCTATCGAACACCTTTGGGAGGAGTTGTGAAAGAGGGTGGAAAGTCACCTAGTTATGCCAGAGAATTTGCAGTAATTGAGATTGGCGGTGTTGGAGGATGAACATAATCTACTGCACTACATTCCAAACGTCATAAAATCGATACCACGTCGATCTCATGAGGAGGATATACTCCGTACTGAATTGAATATTGTCTTCATTGTTTCCATACATTTTTGGTAAAATTGTTTTATTCATTTTATTTTTTTTATTTAGCTACATCATCAATTTTCTTTAACAATATACAGTAAACACCAAACAATTAAAATGATAACGATTGCAAATATTTATTTAAAATAAAACGACGGCGGCCACTTATTTTGCCTCTCAGTGTACATTTCGAATCAATCAATCCATATTGTGAGGGGGGGGGAAATTTTCTAAACCCTTTACGACAGAACGTTAATGAAGCCAACAAAATCAAAGAGACGAAATAACATTCAGTTCAGACCACATACAGTTCCGTCCAAATTAATTTCGTGGCTTTGGATGTAATGACCAATTAACCGAGGCACATAATTGGACTACCCTGGCTGATATTGAAACTGAAAGCATAACTTTGACTCGAAAACGCCCGGGTGTAAGTGGCCGGCCAATTACGACTAAACTTGGGTCCAGACCATCACGGGTGTAAATTGTCCAAACAATGTATCTGTGACATGGATGTCGTTGTATAATACATCCTAAATATAAAGGATGTGTTAATTGTGAAAGTCAAAACAAATTAACTTATTTGTTTTTTAATATAAACTAATTTTTTATGAACCGAAAAATTTAATGTTTATCGATGTTAAGGCAGTACACGTAATGATGCAATAGCTTATCTTACAACGATCCAAGTGGAATAGGAGTGATTTAAATAAGCACCGTTAATAAATAAAGTTATCAAAATGCATAGATAATTTTAAAGAAAACTTTTTTCTTAAGAAAATATCAGTGACAAGAATCTTATCTGGAAAATAATATATCAAAGTTTTAACTTATTAACGACCTAAGAAAAGTTATAATTTAAAAATGAACGTGTGTGTGTGTGTGTGTGTGGTGTTCAGTAACCGTTAATATGAAAATAGATATAAAACATATGAATTTATAGAATGCTAGAAATTTTAGATTCAAGGATTCCGATTGAATCTAAAAATTTTAGCATTCTATAAATTCATATTTTTTTCCTTCACATCTACATGTATTTGTGAAATTTAAACCATGTTTCTAAATCCCAGGCCCTGAAGATGATCTCAATAAAGATCGAAACGTTGGCACGATAAAGAAAATGTTTTTCTAAAACCTACGTCACACCAGACCGCGCATCTCACGATCTCCAAATAATAATTAAAAATAAACATACACTTTTTAATTCAACTTGTTAATTCATTGCTGGAATACTGAAGTTTTGTTTTAATAATTTTTTAAAATTATTACAAGAAAATTTAATTAAACGGGGAAAAATTCCAAACCCTCAAAAAATTAATACTACGCAATCCCCTCGAGAAAGTTTATAAAAATCATTTTTAACACACAATTCGTACAAAAAATGAACAAATTATCAATTAAAAGCAATGGGAATAACGTTAATAAAATAGACTACGGATAATGCCTTAAGGTTTGAAAAAACATTAACAATCACAGCTAATAAGGAACTCTTGAATAGAAATGGAAAATTTGTCAACAACTTCGAGATGAATAGTTCAAATTAACAACAGGGTTTCTTTTTTAAATTGGAAATAACAATAACATTTACCACTGAAGCGCGCAGAGTAGAATTCGTATTCCACAAAAGAATTATGACCTAAATCAATGTTGTTATAACATGGTCCTCTGAATATTATTCCTTATCGAAATAAAACAATTGGTTTTATGTAATATTATTGAAGCCTATGTATAAAAAGTGTATTTTTAGCCAAGTAAGGTTGACGCACCCATTTTCAGGGCAACAATAAGTGTCCAGCATATAAAGAAAGTTCGATGTGCCCTACCTAAATGAACGGTATCGTTTCTTGGCTTCATATAAAGAGCGTGTAGGAATGGCACACGATATGAGAATTGTGCTAGGGCACGGCATGGAGTCTTTGGATCAGTTCCAAATTTTGGAGGAAACAACGCTATTTTATTGTATATGGTGTATTCCTTTTCTGAATGATGCAAGTGAATGTATTTATTAGCGGAAGAGGGCTATGGTTTATAATCTACCCTCAATTAGATTAGTTTACAAAGGGTGACTGACTATCGATATACCATCACCCTAATCGAGTGAATGGTATGTAAATAGGAAAGAATATATTTAATAGTATGTAGTAGTATATATATGTAGCTTTAAAAATGGAGTTGGAGACTGAAATGTCTTAGCTGTTGACAGCCCTTGGAGCCTAACTTCGGTGACATAACAGGTAAGACCTAGAACAACCAAGACTCGAAAATGTACGTACGTGCGTGTGCATCAATCAATAATAATTGTATTATGAGTTTTCCTAATTCCACCTGCACGCCACACTGTTATAATCCATAAAAATAAAACAAAATATCAGAAAGAGCAAGGTTGGTATGATGATAAGGACGGTTAAATAAAACAATACACGCACAGGAGGGACAAACTAATACAATTTTTTTATTAGCAGTAATAGTAACCGTATCCAAAATGTGGATCCAACTAGTTTCTCGCTAAATAACCAACTGTTTCTCGTTAGATAATGATAATGATGAATAGTAGGAAGTCCGAGTTTTTTCTCCTCAAGCACAGCAGCCTTTTGGCTTATTGTACTTTCCTAGTCCTTAAATCAGTGCAATAGCCCCGATCCTTCTCTTTAGGGTACTAGGTCATTGACTGTCGTTGCTACAATTCCTTTCAGGTTTTGTCTCCACTAAGCGGTTGGAAGATGAACTGAGTGGCTGTTTCCTCCTCATTGCATGACCTAGAAATGGGGTCATCATTGAAACACCTATTCCGTGTAGATGTTGTCTTAGATGCCAGTGACCGGTATATAATCCTATCAATCCTCTGTAACTCTAGCAATGAGTTGAGAGCCCGT